TATATATATATATATATATATATATATATATATATATATATATATATATATATATATATATATATATATATATATATATATATATATATATATATATATATATATATATATATTAAAAAGAAGCGGCCCCAATACTGAACCCTGTGGAACACCTTTAGTTACACTCAAAGTACTAGAAACAAGGCCATCCACTTGCACACATTGATTTCAATTTCACTTTAAACTATTAAAAATGGTATCAAAAGTCACTTTTTCAAAGTTAAAAGTTGTTGGAAGAAATATCAAGCTCCCATAATGCAACTCAAAAGCATAAATAAACAGGACAAATGTAAACCATGAATCACAAAATATGTAAAACTGCCAATTTATGGATATATTGTAGTATAATAAGCAGTCAGACAACTGTAGCAGAGTATAAACAGCAGACTGAATGCCAAAAAGAGAGTGTTTGCATGCTGTTAACGACTTACTGAAGGTGTTTGTCTGTGCTGTAGGCATTCAGGTGTGTTTCTTCTGCCATGAAAGCTCAGCGTGTGTCAGACGCTTTGCGCAGATGCTGGAAATCTGCTACCTGGATCCTCACCTGCCTGCTGGTATCAGTGTTCCTCATCGCCATCACCAATATTCTGCCATCCGGTGAGTGAGCATGTATGCAGCTTTCTAGATATACTGTAGGAAAAATGCTGAGCTCCACATGGGCAATTTCGTAGGCGCAACATGAAGGAATTAAATGGTTAAATAAGGATGTGATGTGAAGCAGGGAATGTCAACAGGTGATTGTAATTATGATTTGGTACAAAAGCAGCACTCAAAAAAGGTCTAGTCCAGAGATGTCCAAACTAGGGCTAAATTTGGCCCGTGGTAAGCTTTGATTTGGTTTTTGTCAATTCAAATTTAATGTAACCCTTTGTTTGTTTGTGTTATTGTTAAAAGCTGACTGAAATTAAACGTATGAATTAAATGAAGTTTCACAAACTAATTTCAAGAGGAGTCCTACGAGACCACTACGAGTCCTCTCAGGGAGTGATTCGTTCATCCGCGCGTGCGCACATTTGTGCAGGTGATATCGTTCATTTCAAGTCTTTTGAGTTGTTCATTGCGGAAAGGCAGAAGACAGAAAGTTAAGAGTAGTGGTGGGCAAAGCGAGGCTTCGTGAAACACTGAAACTATCGAAGCAAATGTGTCGAAGCTTCGAAACGTTTCGAAACACCACTCTACGGTGACACCTAGTGGTCATTTTATTTGTATTTCACTGAAACAGCTTCAGCAAAGAACAGATGAGCAAATTGAGGTATCAAACCCCACTTTGTAGCCTAGAATCTGAAAATGGTTTAGTCGAGCGGTTAGAATTTGTGACTACCATGCGGGAATAATGGGTTCGAATCCAGACTGACACAATTGTTTTGAAATGCTTTAATACCAGTTGGTAATGCTTTGTTATTGTATCGTTTTGTTTCAACATTGCTCTGACATACGAATAAACACCTTGTAAATAAATTTGTATTGTTTTGTTCATAAAACAGGGTTGTTACTAGATCAGATACAGTTGTGGCCAGAAGTTAACAATAATTATTTATATTATTAATTAAATTTCCCATTGTATTTTATTAACGTCTATCCAAAACCTAAACCCATCTCAGTACTGTAAAAATATGAATTATTGTTTTACAGTGTTACAAAAATGATGCTAAATTGATGGCATATCCGCAGCTGTATCCTATCTAGGATACACCATTAAACAGTAACAGTACTAGTCGAGATTCGAACGCAAAATAAATTTGAAATACAGTACCATAGTGCACACGCACGGTCCACTAGGCCATACAAGTCAGAGTCATAATAAAGATCATGCCAGTCAAACGCAGATTCTCCGGGTCTTGAAACGCCTCTGAAATGATCGATGCTTTGAATCGCTTTTGTCACGTGACCAAGTGTTTCGAAACACTTTAGTCACGTGACTTGGGTGTTTCGAATCATGCTTTGGTGCAGTGTTTCGAAACACTTGCGCTTCGGGATCTCGACACTGTGTCGAAACGTCAGTTTCACGTCAGCCATCCCTAGTTAAGAGCCGAATAAAGAATTGATCCGTTCATCTCTCGAGTCCTCTATCGAGTCTGAGTCATTCGTTTCTCACGGGCCAATCATATGTGTTTAGTGCCGGAAAAAGAATTGATCCGTTCATCTCTCGAATCCTCTATCGAGTCCAAGTCATTTGTTTCTCACGGGCCTATAAATGCTAAGCATATCTAAGTGGGAACTCTTGAAACTCAAACAGTAAACAGTGAGTGAATGATGACAGAATGTTGAGTTTTGGGTGAACTATCCCTTTATATAAGTAAGAGTGGACCCAATACTCTAAACATCTAATCACAAATCCTTCAATGCTCACTAATGACCAAACTTTCAACCTTTCAGTCACCAAGCCATACATTTTAACTAGTACACCACTATAATATACAGTATTAAGTAACCATCTTTAACTGTCTCCTTTATACGCAATAATAATCAAAATCAAAGACCAGAGCCTGCGGGTTTAATGGATACCTGTGGAACAAAGCAGTCTGTTTTCATTTCCTATTGTCCTGTGAGGATGTAAAGCCTACAGCGGGAGATTCCCTTTTCACATAAAACCTTTGAAAAGACAGATGAACTAAAGGTCTAATGAGGACATGGACACTTGAGAGTCTGTGTATGTGTGTCAGAGTATTATAGACAGCTCCTCTACTGTAAATAACACAACTGAGAGATCAGTGACATCCTACAAATGACCGTCAGTGACGCATACACATAACAAAGAGCTCAGATAATGTTTGTGCATGGCTTCCAACAAATTACGCCATGTGACTGTAACATACAGTAGATACACTGAATAAAGGGAAACTACACTCAAAAACACGGCTCATGCTACTTTATTAAAATAGTTTTTTGAAGACAATTCAATTGTTTGATGGTGTCTCCCCTTAAAAACCATTACATTAACTTAATCGATTGAGGAAATTGTGTGTAACCCAGCATTATTTACAGTGTATTGTCTTTCATTCAGGGAGGCCAGAAGTACTGTCACCTCACAGCAAAAAAGTTGCTGTTCAAGTCCCGGCTGGGTCAGTTGGTGTTTCTGTGTGGAGTTTGCATGTTCTCCCAGTGTTGGTGTTACCAGCCTCAGACAGTGAAGTATGAGAGCCAGTAACTGTAAGAAAGATGCAAGACACACAGATTAGGATCTGCTGCGTTCTGGCGCTTTCTTTAATAGCTTTTTTCCTTTTTTTCAACATAAATAGCAAGTGCAAAACGTTTTGTCAATAACTATTAACAGTATTCCTTCACAGGTTATTCTTTCTGGACATTTCACATAACAGTATTACAATTATTCATCCATGAAGTCAATAAACATAATACCTTAACATTTTCTCTTTATACATTTTAAAGCAGCAATAAACATCTGTATACAATTCAACACCTTTTGTGTCTTACCACCACCATATGCCTTCATTTCACACATAAATTTATCTTAATGATACACATATATTTTAGACATGGTGAGGTGTTGTACAAAGAAAAATCAGCATCACTAGAGTACAACAACATTATAAATTTGATTAAATATACAATTTATCAAAATCAACAGTCTTCGTTTATATATCTATGTGTTTAACCCTTTTAGACTACCACCATTTTGTGTTTTCTCTTTTACCCCTTTAACTGCAGTGAGTAACATCAGTATAGCACAATATCCAGTTTAACCTGACAAATCTATCCAGATTATACAGAAAATACAGTAAAAGTTATTTAACATCTTTCATTAACACATTATGTTTCTAAAGTATGATGCATTGTAAACTATTATTCAACTTGTAATTACATAAACTGAATTGCACATAAAGTACTCATTTTTAGAACTCAACAATCCCCTTAACTGCACAACCATCATGTATGATGTTTATGAACCTCTTAGATTTCAATATAAATGAGTATTGGGTTATAAAACCGATTTTACATACCTGTAAGAAAGATGCAAGACACACAGATTAGGATCTGCTGCGTTCTGGCGCTTTCTTTAATAGCTTTGCCCTTTGACCAGAACATAACTTCCTCATTGCGCTAGTGTAATGCGCCCTCTACAGGCATCTTGCCGAACACACTTCAGTTTATTTAACGGAACACAAGTATTATTGAGGTCTTTTTAAATATAAAACTATAAGAAAGATTTTTAAAAAATAATTTGGGGTGCACTATTTTTGCTTGAACTTTTATATTTTACAGTTACATTTACAGTCTATCACATTGGCGTGGGTTTCCTCCGTGTGCTCCGGTTTCCCCTACAGTCCAAACACATGGTTAACTGAATAAGCTAAATTGGCTGTAGTGTATGAGTGTGTGTTTGTGTGTGAATATGAGTGTGTGTTTGTGTGTGAATGAGTGTGTATGAGTGTGTGTTTGTGTGTGAATGAGTGTGTATGTGTGTTTCCCAGTGTTGGGTTGCAGCTGAAAGGGCATCCACTGCGTAAAAGCTATGCTGTATAAGTTGGCGGTTCATTCCGCTGTGGCGACCCCTTATAAATAAAGGCACTAAGCCGAAGGAAAATGAATGAATGAATCAGCAGAATTTTTGGGGGATTTTTTTGAGGGGACAACTTAATGTTAACTTCATTGATTTGTGTTGGAACAACATGATGATATTATATGGACGCCTGCAGTTTATTTATAGTGTAGTTACATCACCATCTTCCATTTCATGTACAGTGGTGTAAAGTGCTTAAGTAAATGGACTTCGTTACTTTACTTAAGTATGTTTTTGGCTACTTTGTACTTGTGCTGAGTATTAAAACTATAAGCAACTTTTACTCTCTACTTGACTACATTTTTGATTGAATATATGTCGTCTTTACTCCACTACATTTGAACGGACGCTTACCGTTACTCGTTACATTGTGACAAGTCGTTATCTTTATCTACCATGGCATTTGTTGGGCGGACGAGGCGATATCGCCATCTGCAGGGTGCTGAAGGTACTGTATGCTATTTATGAGCGCTAAATCTCGTGAATTAGCAGCTTGCCTAATACCAGGTGTTTAATTAGCAACATGGCTGCAGCCACTGATGACGCCGAAGCCGGCACATCAAGCAGTACCAGCACTGATGACCATCCATGGCCTTATCTAAAAGAAAAGTTTTCATTTGCCGATATACAGAAAGGTTCTTACAGGATGCAGTGTCTACTTTGTTTGCCACGAACCACGAAAATAAGTGCTTATAAGAATGTATTATCAAATTTGAGAAAACACATTGAGGTAAGAGTCTATTTACCGTTAAATTAATGTGAATTTAGTCACATTATGTCTGACTTTACAATGGTTTTGTAAGCGTTATGTTACCAAAAGTTAATATAGTTACTGATAAGGCAAAAACCACTACGACATGATATGAATAGGTTTTAGCTTAATTTTTTTTTTTTTGTGCAACGTGAATAAATGTATCACTGAAATTATACATTTTGCATCAGGTGCATTAAGCTTTGAGTTTGTGATATATTTTTCATTGAATTTATATGTAGTTTACCAAGTTGAAAAATAACACTGATCCTCTTTGTTTAATTTTAATACAGAGAAAACATCCTAATCAATTAAAAAAATACTCAGATTAAAACTTTGAGAGGTGAATCACATGAAAGTCAGCTTTAAATTGTTTTACTACGTTTAACTACTTTTTTGTTTAATTGTGCCTTTTTTGAACATTTGAGTTTGAGACTTTAATTATATTATAATTTTTTTTTTGTTTATCTATTTTGTTCTGCCATTTTGAAACATTGAGGTGTTAAATTTAATGTCTATATTAGGAAATAAAACCTTTCTTGGTGTTCTTTGAGCCTAAATTCACTATGAGTAAAATACTTAAGTACTTTTAAAATCGAATACTTTAATACTTTTACTCAAGTCTTATTAGAATTGGTGACTTGTAACTTGTAATGGAGTAATTTTTACTGTAAAGTATCTGTACTTTTACTCAAGTATGGTTTTTAGGTAGTATTTACACGTCTGCTCATGTAATCAGTCAATCAGCGTTTAAACCAGTAATATTGCTTGTAAACAATGTCAAGTATCGCATTTACATGTACCTCAAACAATTCATTCAGTGCTCTCTATGTCACTATAAGACATAATTTTAAAATATATTTATTTAACCCATTTATTCATTAAAGCGCCCCTATTATGCATTATAAAAGGTCATATTTTGGTTTTGGGGATCTCCAACAACAGGCTGATATGCATGCAAGAGTAAAAAAAACATTTTCATTGTCTTATAATATGCATTTGATTTTAGCCAATTATCCCAACAAATTCTTCAGTGATTCATTAGTTCCAAAACCCCTCTTTAGTGAAATGCTAATCTAATTTAGGCCCCGTTTACACTAGTGCGTTTTAGTTTTAAAACGGCGTTTTAGATCAAAAACAATCCGCGCCCACACTAGCGTTTCACCTAGCGTCTCTGAACATATCTCCATCCACACTACGCCACCAAAAACATATATCACGTGACCATTTGCACACTTTGGGCATGTGCATTCTAGTATAAACAGAAAGCACGTGTCTCGCTCGGCATTTGGTTATTGTTAGTCAACAAACGCCGGTTGAACAATGAACGCGATGGCAAAGAAAGCAAGAGAGGTATTTTTGTGGACAGACGACGAGGTCGAGTTGTTACTAAACGTAACAAATGAATAACTGCACAATGCTGCCTAAAACAGACAATAGTGCAAACAACGCTCCCATTTCTCTGCCCATGTTATTGTTTACAGTGAAGGCTGGTCTGCCGTCTTCCGGTAGCGTTAAAGCCATGTGTTATAGTCATGTGATAGGGGCTTGACGAATAAGGAAAGGATACGCAATGACACAAAAGCCCCAATCAGGTAGCGAATCTCAGTAGCCCCGCCTCCGTTTTCAGATGTCTGTTTTCCCTCATCCACACTGAGACGGAGCAGCAGCGTTTTAGAATGAAAACAGCCTCTCCAGCGTTTCCAAAACGCTCCATTTTCGGCGCTCGAAAACTCCGGCGTGGTAGTGTGGACGAATGGCGTAACCGTAGCAAAACTTATGCGTTTTCAAACTAAAACGCATTAGTATAAACAGGGCCTTAGAGGCGATCATGCTACCCACTGCGCCACCGTGAGGCCTATTTTACATTTTCTTAATTCTGATTGATTTACGAGCTGTTTTCTTTATCGGGACCAAAAAAACATCCTCACAAGGTCATAAATCACTGGTATTGCTATACTTGGGGCATCCACACTAAAACATTGTGGCTGCTTAAACTTGTTTTTGAATCAAAGGAACTTTTATAGTCATTAAAGCAGTCACGTTGACTAAAAGATTAAACAGCCCCTATTATGCATTATAAAGGGTCACATTTTGGTTTTGGGCGTCTCTAACATGTGAGGCTGAAATGCATGCATGGTCAAAAACTGTCTTATAATCTGCATTTATTTTTACCTAATTATCCCAACGACTCTTATATGATTGATTCAGCGATCCCAAACCCCTCTTTAGCATGATGCTAACCTGCGCTGATTGGTCCGATGACCCAGTCTATTGCAATTGGTCAACTGGGTTCAGCGCAAGACAGAGAGAAACACCCAGCAAGGCTTATCAACACTGTTGTGAGTGCATGCACAGTATATGTGTGAGCCCAATGCAGGAGTGCATTAAAGCAATGCAGTTAAACAGCACCTACTCTTTAACTTTAAGTAATAACAACGACACACATTCATTATTAATCCACACAATGGCGAAAGCTGAACTATTTTGGAACTCAAGCACAGCACGTGTAAGAACAGCTGATGGTGGCCTAAGGACAAGTGGCAAATGATTGCGAGCTCACAAAGGCATTTAAATTCATAAAGAAAGTGACTCTTGGCTTTAGGCACGATATGTGAATATAAAGAGTTAACCAGATACACAACAAGCGGTGCAAAGTGATTACAAGTGACAAAACACAATTAAATACATTATTTGCTAGATAGAGAAAACAAGGAGGCAGCTATTTTAACCACACTTACTTACACTTGTGAAATGGAGGAAGAAACTGATCCATGAACTCCATGTACTGATAAAGCTCCTGTCAAGCTCTGACAAAGTCCTATACATCAATGATCCTTCCTTTAACAAACGGCCGACGAATCCCGTGTTGCAGAGTAGATTATTGCATTAATCACCAGAACATTCATTCATTAATGTTCAGTCATGATCAGTCCCACACACACACACACGCTCTCTGCTAGCGTTTGAAGGGAAAGGTGCGTTCACGTTTTACTAGATCCAGCGCTTCATATATGGTATTGTTTCGGGTCAATACAAACAGGCAAAAGATCCGGACGAACGACGAATTATTCAAATCAGGGGTGTCCTGGAGAGTTTAGCTCCAACCCTAATCAAACACACCTGAACCAGGTAATTAAGCTCTTACTACACTGAAAAAAATATTAGCTGCGTCCCAAATTGCATACTTATGCACTATTCTACGCCATTTTGTAGTATAAATAGTGTAAGTAGTGCGTTTACACTGAAAACTCTAAAAATAATAAGTGCACTTTAATTTCCCGGATGATGCACTCATTTAGCCGCTAAAATGAAGTGTGTAATGATGGACACTTCACGCACTCAACAACCACAGGTTTGCTTATGTGTAGCGCCCCCCGATGGTGAATGCTGCAATACTCACGGCAGGTATTATGTGATAATTTGGTCGTTTATTTCACTGATTTGGCAACTGTCAAACGTCATCAGAGAAACGGTTTGAATTTCCGCTTAGTAAAAAAACATTAGTGTTCCAATTGGGACACCACTACATACAAATATTATCCTGTTGAGTGTGTAAGTGCATAAGTACATAGTGCATAGTGTATAGTGTGCCATTTGGGATTCAGTTGATGTCTGAAAAACTGTTGTAAACTATTTATTTATGTTGAATTTAAACAAACAAATTAAATTTAATAAAATTCAACTCAATTTGTTTGTTTAAATTCAGCCCAAATAAATTGTTTACAGCCACTTAACGTAAAAAAAAAAATCCAAGGAGTAAATCCAAATCATCTCTGAATAATTTTTTTCAGTGTAGATATACTAGAAACTTTGTGACAGGTGTGTTGAAGCAAGTTGGAGCTAAACTCAGCAGGACACCAACCCTCCAGGACGAGTTTAGACATCTTTGATTTAATCAAATCTGACTCAAAAAACGTTATATTTTTAAACAAGGTCCACTTTCAGATTGACTTAGGGCTGGGTTACCCATAATAGGGGCTCTTTAATGTCTTCATTATTTAATGTCTTAATTGTTTAATGCAAGTGTTTAAAAAATTGCAAATGAAGGAGGTTATGTGTAAATGTATAAATTCTTCAACAACAAAAAAATATGTGCAATTTCCATGCTTGATGATGCTTTGTTTAATAGTTTTTCATCTTTTCTGTGTGCAGGAGATCACAAGCTGAAACGAAGATCAGTCCCCAGTAAGTATCCTTATAAAATAAACCTTTTTTGCATTTAAAAATAATATATAAACCACTTGCACCCTGAAGTAATGATGTCATCTAACCTCATGCAATTGAAGACAATCTAAAAGTTGCTGCAACATTGTAGCAACATTTTAAACAATTTAGAACAGTATGACCGTTTGAAGTTTAAAAATGTGAATTTAAATGTAACATTCTATTTTTTAAATTAAATACAGCTTTATTATTTATATGAAGACTAAAGTTCAGGAGCCCTATCATACACCCAGCGCAATAAGACGAAAGACGTGTTTGTCGTGATTTGTTGCTATTTTCAGACCAGCGCAACTTTAATTTTCATGTTTTGCTTCAGGTTGTTTAAATAGCAAATCTATTTGCGCCACTTTATGGACTCATGTCAGTGCTGGTCTATACAGGAGGTGTGTTGAGGTGCATTGCTGGTGCGTTGCTATTTTGAGTAACTGACATAGACCAGTCCAGCAGAGCATGTTAGTTAGGTTCCAAATGCTTACACATTGCTTAATACACACAGGATGAAGAACATAAGAACAGGAAATGGAGCATAACCCATTTATATGACCTTTTATAAAGCATAATAAAGGCTCTTTTATGAATAAATAGGTTAACATGGGGCATAAGAACAGGACATGTGTTTGGATATAACTCAGTTTTTTTTTTTTTTTACCACACTTCTTTATTATTGTGCATTTGTTCCTTTTCTGCAGATTAGAACTGAATTTAGAAATAGTTTTGACACTAATCTTACCAAAAGAGATTAAACATGCTGGCTAATGGATGTCTTGAGGGGAGTGAGTTTCTACCATTTCCTCACTCCACCAAAATAAAGGAGTAAAGTAAAGAGTGAAAGTAAAGAGTAAAGTAAAGAGACTGAATGAAGGAGGCTCGTTCTTTATCCTCGCGCTGCAGATGCTCTGTTTAACTTTTTTCTCGCTAGTGAAGCGTTCAGCTTTTACACTTACAAAGTCCGCCATGTAAAAAACAAATGTGCCATGGAGCGGCGCAACTTACTCTTAAAGGGAGTTTGGAGATGAGACTGATTGCGTTAATGCAGGTTATACTCAAAACACCAACAGAACTCATTAAGAGAATAAGCTCAACCCTGTTAGACCATGCGGCAGGGCGCAAAGTGGATTTATCCATCCTTAAAATAGCAATAGCTTTAGACTTTGCACCTAGATCAATAAAATAGAGTGCCAGATGTGCAGCATGCGTGAATGAATGCACATACATCAATGATTATTAACTTAGAGCCACTCTCTCTTCAGTTACATACTGTAAAATTTACGGTAAAAAACGGCAGCTGTGGTTGCCTTTAAAAATATGGTAGGAATATAAAAGAAATGTCAACATTTCACAGTAAATTACCATATTTCATACACTTCTTTATCATAAACCAATGCTTTTTAAGTACTAACATCTAAAAATAAAGCAGTGAGATAAACATTATTTATAAACATACAGTCAAGTGCAAAATTATTTATACACCTGACTTTTTTATTTATTTTTATTTTTTGCTGAAATGTAAACTATGATGCCTTTTGTACACCGTCTTATTATTTTTTTGAGAGAACCCTGTGTCATTTCTGGTCAAAAACAAACTTACTAATTGAATAAAAGTAACTTTAAGTCAGATTTTGATTTCAGGTATGAATAAATTCGAGTTTGACTGTAACTTTAAGGGCTCTATTTTTACGATCCAGGCACAAAGTTCAAAGCGCAGGGCGCAAAAGCATTAAGGGCGTGTCCGAATCCACTTTTGCTACTTTAAAGATAGAAAAATCCACTCTGCGCCATGGCGCATGGTCTAACGGGTTGAGCTTATTCTCTTAAGGAGTTATAGGTGTGTTTTGAGAATAAACCAATCAGAGTCTAATCTCCCATTCCTTTTAAGAGTCAGCTGAGTCGCGCCATGGTGCATTTCCTATTTACATAGTGGATTTTGTAAGTGTAAAAACTGAACGCTTCACTAGAGAGAAAACAGTTAAACAGAGCATCTGCAGCACGAGAATGAGAGATGAGCCTCCTCATTTTTTACTCTCACTTTCACTCTCGTGGATAAGGAAACGTGTTGTACGCAGACATCCATTAGCCTACATATTTAATTTCGTCTGTTAAGCGCAAAGATTTGTTTCAAAACTATTTCTAAATTCAGTTCTAATTTCCAGCAAACGAATAAATGAACAATAATAATGAAATGTGCTCAAAAAAGTTATTTCCAAATACACATGCTCTGCCCCAAATGGTCTAAAATCTAAGCCAAATCTAAGCTTGTTTTTATTAAAACAAGTATAAATATGGATATAATAAATAATACTGCTAATAATAATAACATTATACAAAAGCAAACTGTTATGAATAAACTGAAAAAGCCCCCCGAGATGAAGAAGACATAAAAGTTTGTTTTTTTATATTTATGTAGAAAATAATAATAATTTCTGCAATATTTTATTCCTTTAATTCTTTTTCATTTGTAAAGATATTTGCGTATTGCTCTACATCTTGTGTGTATTGAGCAATAAGCGACCACACAACTAACGCGCTCTGCGCTGGACTTTAGACCTGATTTGATCAGGTCTATTGAACAGTCTATTTTGGTTCCTCAAAATAGCAACGCGCCAGCAATGCGCCTCAACACACCTGCTTTTTTAGACCAGAACGCCTATGGGCGCACATATAAGCACAAATGCCTTTGCTATTTAAACAGCGTGCTGCAAAACGTCAAAACAACTCTTGCGCCAAGCTGAAACTAGCAACCAACAATTATGATAGGGCCCTAAGAATCATAGTAATGTCAGCAAAATAGCAAAAAAAAAAAGAGTCAATTGTGGGAAAGTCAATGTACGATTATTCACCGTAAAAATAAAGCACACTTACTGTTAAACAGGCTATAGATTTTTACCAAAGATTTTTTTTTACTGACAAAATCACAGACTTTTTTTACATTAATAAACAGAGACGCCTGTGACTTGACCTAAATGGGATGTTCTGGAAAAAACGCCTATTTTCTACCATCTTTGTGAGCTGCTGAAATAATACACCATCAATTCATGATTACATACAATAGTTTGTACAGGCACTGTCCCTGTCCACAAAAACAGAGGACAAACAAACCCTCCAGCCAAAGTGACCAGTGTCTAAAAAAGGAAGAGGAGTTTTTTCCCCCTTTTTTGTCAGAAACACCACTTTCTGAACAAACAACAAAGAGTGCTAGGCAAAAAATATCCGTAAATTAGCTGCTTACCGTATTTTGTGATTCAAGTTTTTATTTTTTCCTCATTTATTTATCCATTATGAGACCTTAATATTTCCTCCAACAACTTTTAACCTTGACTTTTAAGAACATTTGTAATAGTTTGCAGTGCTATATTGTCTGGGTTGGTGTCGTATATCACGCTTCAAACACCTTGTAATAAACTGCAGCACATTTTCTGTTATTTTATAGACTTACTTCTCTTCATTAGTGAAATTTAATTTTTAATGAAATTATTTATTTTTTTATTGTAAGTACAGTTTGACTTTAATATTGTACATATATTTTTTATTTTTTATTTACAACTAATAATAATAATAATAATAAATACACTAATAAATAACAAAAGTAATAATACAAATTGTAGTATAATGTATAAAAACAAAATATACAAATGTCACATTACAATAAATAATGATTTTTAAAAAATGCTTTAAAATTATATATACACACTCAGAAATAAAGGTACAAAATCAGTCCCTGGGGCGGTACCTTTTCCAAAGGTACACTTTTATTGCTAACAGATCCTGCATTCATACCAGACGTGGATGAAGCATCAAGAGCGACTGATTTGCATTTCGGATGAATGAATCAGCGCAAGTTGATCGTTTTGCGAACTTAACATGCGTATCGCATATTATGCATGAAACGCTCGAACTTTAATCTGAACTTTAGCAGACATTGGCGCCGCATTAATGAATCAGGAGTAGGGATGGGTATCGTTAAGGTTTTAACGGTATTACTATTTTTATCGATACCACTTGTCGGTTCAGTACTTTAACGATTCTCTTATCGGTAAATTTTGTAGTGTTTTTTTTTAGGAAAAAAACTCAACTTTAATTGAACAGAATTAACAACTTTATTTTATCATTACGTTTTTAATGTAAAATGAAACAAACCAACAATTGTAAAACAAATAAATATAGATTTTTTTTCCTTTAAAAGAGTGTACAATGGCTTGTAGGAAAATGAATAAAATTTTTAGGAAAAAAAATCAACATGTTTGACTTTTCTGACAGAGGTTGGAATCTTTCTTGACTTATTGTGCTCCTGCAGCTGAAAATTCCCTCTTTGAGTTGCAAAATGCAGTTAAATTATCAGATCATGTGTATGATTTTCCATTAATGCATTCACATGAATGACTTAACGGTGTTTTGGGAGTTAACTGTGTTTTTAGTCTAGTTTTGGGGCATCATGCAATGTTAAAACAAGCTGTTTTTTAATTGGCTATTCATAGGCTATGTGTAAATACAGCTGATCTAAAAGCATTTTTAATGTTTAGGATTTATTTAGGCTACTGCAGAAAAACATACTGTTTTCACTGTAACCGAATGTGTGTGTTTATTTAACTATTAATATTAGACTAATTTAGGTGATTGACTGCTGGCATAACGATGTGGATGATGTAAAGTTGCCGTTAGGCAGTCAAAACTTTGCATTGCAGTTAATGCACTTTTTTTTTTTAATGCAATCCAAAACTAATATTGCCTAAGGGGGCTAATAATATTGACCTCAAAATGGCTTTAAAACAACTAAAATTAACAAATAAAAACAAATAAGACTTTTACCTGTATATTTTTATTATAATATTAATAAAATGACTTGCTTGAGATTAGTGTAAAAGTTGTGCTGCGATTCGGTCTGTTTCTCACCCTGAGCTGAATCCACAGTCTTCCGGTATCCTCCAGTCTAAAATTACAGGAAAATAGATGTAGTAGATATAGAGGGCTGCAGTTCTGGAGGGCCAAGAACCTCCTTTCAGCAAATAATTTGACCACAATCCTTGTTTTCTCTCTCTCTGTCTCTTTCCCTCTCTCTGACTTTTCTCCTGTTTTTTGTTCCCTCACAGCCAATAACACAAGTCCTGCAGGGAAAACACAGTCTCAAGGTGAGCATCTCAGAAATGTATTTCACACTCACTTGTTTTTCGCTCAAACTATTTATGTAAAATGATCTGAATCAACACATTTCTGGAGAGTTTTTTGCAACTTAATTTTTTTATGATCAATCAACTTAAATTTGTAAAAACGGATGTGTTAACTCCTTCATGTTGTCCCAACACAAATTGATTGTGTGAAACCCAGCATTTTTCACAGTCTTGTTGTAACTTAATTTAATTATGGCATACATTTCCAAGGGCGACACGGTGGCTGAGTGGTTAGCACTGTCGCCTCACAGCAAGAAGATTGCTGGTTCGAGTTCCAGCTGGCCAGTGTACCGGTTTCCCCCACAGTCCAAACACATAGATGAATTGAATAAACTAAACTGGCCGTAGTTTTCCCAGTGATGGGTTGCAGCTGGAAGGGCATCCCCTGCGTAAAACATGTGCTGGATAAGTTGGCGGTTCATTCTGCTGTGGCGACCCCTGATTAGCAAAGGGACTAAGCCGGAAAGAAAATGAATGAATGAAAAGTTGGCCGTAGTGTATGAGTGTGTGTGAATGTGAGAATGTATGAGTGTTTCCTAGTATTGTGGATTGCAGCTGGAAGGGCTGCGTAATACATATGCCAGAATAGTTGGCAGTTCATTCCACTGTGGCGACCCCGGAAAAATAAGGGACTAAGACGAAGGAACATGAATGAACGACACATTTTCACTAATTTGGTGGATTTATCCAAGAACAGCAGGCGCAAATGACGCTTGCGAGACAAATTTGAGATCTGAAAAAGCATACACAGCGGCCTCTGGTGGATTTATGCGAGAACAGCAGGAGTGAATGACGCTTGCAAGACGAATTTGAGATGTGACAAAGCGTACACAGCGCCCACTGGTGGATTTATGCGAGAACAGCAGGGGTTAATGGCACTTGCGAGGCAAGTTTGAGATCTGAAAAAGCGTACACAGTGCCCACTGGTGGATTTATGCGAGAACAGCAGGGGTTAATGGCACTTGCGAGACAAGTTTGAGATCTGAAAAAGCGTACACAGTGCCCACTGGTGGATTTATGCGAGAACAGCAGGGGTTAATGGCACTTGCGAGACAAGTTTGAGATCTGAAAAAGTGTACACAGCACCCACTGGTGGATTTATGCGAGAACAGCAGGGGTTAATGGCACTTGCGAGACAAGTTTGAGATCTGAAAAAGCGTACACAGCGCCCACTGGTGGATTTATGCGAGAACAGCAGGGGTTAATGGCACTTGCGAGACAAGTTTGAGATCTGAAAAAGCGTACACAGCGACCACTGGTGGATTTATGCGAGAACAGCAGGAGCGAATGACGCTTGCAAGACGAATTTGAGATGTAACAAAGCGTACACAGCAGCCTCTAGTGGATTTATGCAAGAACAGTAGGCGCGAATAGCACTTGCGAGACAAATTTGAGATGTAACAAAGCGTACACAGCGCCCACTGACGAATTTATGCGGGAACAGTAGGCGCGAATGGCACTTGAGAGACAAATTTGAGATCTGAAAAAGCATATACAGTGGCCTCTAGTGAATTTATGCAAGAACAGCAGGCGCGAATGACGCTTGCGAGACAAATTTGAGATGTGAAAAAGCGTACACCGCAGCCTCTAGTGGATTTATGCAAGAACAGTAGGCGCGAATGACGCTTGCGAGACAAATTTGAGATGTGAAAAAGCGTACACAGCAGCCTCTAGTGGATTTATGCAAGAACAGCAGGCGCGAATGGCGCTTGCGAGACAAATTTGAGATGTGAAAAAGCGTACACAGCAGCCTCTAGTGGATTTATGCAAGAACAGCAGGCGCGAATGGCGCTTGCGAGACAAATTTGAGATGTGAAAAAGCGTACACAGCAGCCTCTAGTGGATTTATGCAAGAACAGCAGGCGCGAATGACGCTTGCGAGACAAATTTGAGATGTGAAAAAGCGTACACAGCAGCCTCTAGTGGATTTATGCAAGAACAGCAGGCACGAATGACGCTTGCGAGACAAATTTGAGATGTGAAAAAGCATACACAGCAGCCTCTAGTGGATTTATGCAAGAACAGCAGGCACGAATGACGCTTACGAGACAAATTTGAGATCTGACAAAGCGTACACAGCGCCACCTGGTGGATTGGCGAAAACAAAAACTTCAAAAAAACGTAGCTCTTGTCATGTATTTGGCGCTTTAAAGAAGTGTATATAGAGGTACGTTTTCAGAAAAAGCCTGGGTTGTAACATATGGAGTACAAAAGCAAAATAAATTTTGACCCAATGATTTTTTTTTTCCAGATTCTATTTGAATTACCTTTAACCTCCTAGGGCTTAAGTGTCCACATATGTGGACAGCACATTTCAGCTCTTAAGCAGCTATTTAAAATACTTTGAATGTTTCAGATTTTGATACTGAAACACAGTGTCACCCTGCAACTGTTTTGCAGCATGTGAAATGTCCCAAACTATATCTTTAGCTGTCTGAAATAGGGAAAAAATGTTGTTTTTACTCTCTCATAGTCACAACATGATCAAAAATGTTTCTATATTAAATATGCATTAAAAAACAGCCAAGAAAAAGTGTATTGTGTAAATTCGGACCACAAGTTCACATATATGGACCATTTTTCTCTAAAAGTGCATCATATCAAAATATGAAACTTCAGTTTTTATTCTAATTAGGAATCAATAAGCCCAAATTGTAAAATGAAAAATGCATGAAAAAACAGCTTGGGCCTAAGGAGGTTAAATGAAAGGCATAGTTCACCCACAAATGAAAATCTGTTCTCATTCTTGTCGGCTTAGTCCCTTTATTAATCCAGGGTCGCCACAGCGGAATGAACCGCCAACTTATCCAGCACATGTTTTACGCAGGGGATGCCCTTCCAGCTGCAACCCATCTCTGGGAAACATCCACACACACAATTTAGCCTATCCAAATCACCTGTACCGCATGTCTTTGGACTGTGGGGGAACCGAAGGAAACCTACGCGTACAAAGGGAGAACATGCAAACTCCACACAGAAACGTCAACTGAGCCGAGGATCGAACCAGCGACCTTCTTGCTGTAAGGTGACAGCACTACCTACTGCGCCACTGCGTCGCCCCACTTTGAGAAACTATTTAAAATTTTCCTTCTGCTGAACACAAATAGAGATATAACAAGAAATGCTGGAAAAAAAGGATGTCAACGGCTGCTTTTTTACAACAAATCAAAATTATGAAAACCAAATAATGACCTTTTATGATGCATAATAGGGCCTCTTTAATAATGCATTAGTAAATGCTGAAATATGATTAATAAATAGTGTTGTAATGTTGCACACTGAGAACTGCATATCCACTCAGTTACACCAACACACTGAATTCATGTCGTCGATTACAAAAACGGTTCGCTATTCAAGATTTAAGTGGTTTGAAGATTAAACAAATAAACTGTCCAAAAAAGCTGAAGATTCATGTTATTTCAGCTTATATTAAAACAAGCAGTTTGAACCAGCAGCAAAAGGATCACTGTTATTTCCTTTTAAAACACACCCTTTTAAGAAAGGACGAGTTTTACTGGCAAGAACAGGGAAAGAGAGCAGGTCATAATTGCCTCTAAGGCACAAGAAAGAAAAAAAAGACGGGTCACTTCCTCTTGCTCAATTTACACAATCCCCTTCTCCAGCACTATGCTCTCGCTCTCTTTCTGGAGTCGTATGTCATATTTAGACTTATTAGTGTGCCTTAAGTTGAAGGGGATTAGGGACATTCTTACAGGGTCCATTATGTCATTATATTCAAGCCGTGTACACTAGACAACGACCTTCATATGAACAATAGCGAAAAAGAACCAAAAAGAACACAAATATATGGGAAAAGCACATTTTTCAGACATGCACAATGGAAAACCCATGTGTTATCTGGATATGATAACCGTGGTAATAGCATTTTGTTGACAATAGTATGTTTTTAAATATCATGCAAACAAAACAACAACAAAAACAAGTCTCTCCTGCTCATCAAAGCTGTGTTAATTGCATAAAAAAAACAGTGAAATGTGTAAAAATTTGATATACTTAATCTAATAACAGGCTAAGAACAACGTATTGTTATTTTTAACTGCTTATTGCTTCATATTTATTTGTGGAGACTGACACACTACTGTTAGAAAATTCAGAAAAATCCTGTTAAATTCTATTAAAATGGTCAAAGACGTGTATTTATTTAAGTCCTGCAAAAAGTACTACTGTTAGTCAAATATGAAGCAGAAAAATTGATCTGAACCCTAACTAGAATGTTTTTTGACATCAAATAAACTTTATTCAAGCTTTATTCATGATATGTGGTAATATCACGATATTGACCAAAGCAAAAAAGTTTGGGCTATACAGGTATAATAACATTTTGTGTGTGCGTGTGTGTGTGTGTGTGTGTTTATATGTTTTTGTGACATATCAGGACACAAATCTGTATAATGACATGGGTATGACACAGGTATTACAAAAAGGAGGTGAAATATGAGGACATTGGTGACGTCCTCGTTTCTCAAAAAGCCTAAAAATCCTACAGAATGAGTTTAATCAGAGAGTAAAGCTGCACACAGTCTCCTGTGATGGTTGGGTTTAGGGGTGGGGTGGTGTGAGGGCAATATAATGTATGGTTTGGACAGTATAAAATGAATGGAAATCTATGCAATGTCCCCACTTTTCACAAAAACAAATTTGTGTGTGTGTGTATTGCTTAATTGTGTATGTGTTCAGCGTAAACAACTGTAAAATAATAATAATCATTACAAAAGCATTATTATGTAAAATTAATAACACATTTGACAACGTTTGAAAGGAATAGGGAACAGGGGGGGATATCTCTGAACACAGACAGGAACTCTGTTTCTAACTACTGTCACATCCATCAGTGACCACCTGAGGGCGCTGTAGTGCATCAGGACTAAGACAGCACTACAGCGTCTCAGAAAAACTACATTTTCATACATGCCCCGCGCACACACCGGAACACCTACACT